ACATTTTTTCCACCGGAGGTACTGACAAATGACATTTCTGTGACTATTCTGCACTGACACGATTTTTTCAGGAAAATAGATGTCAAAACATTACATATATGACAAAAGAAACCCCCCTCAAACATGGTTGTTTCAGCTGTAGCAGGGATTCATCCAATCGATGAAAAACTCATTAATGATTCATCAAGTTGGGCTCTTCCATCATGGTCAGACTTACTTCCTGCCCACAGTAACACAGGATTAATAAGCTGCATTCATTTGCTTGCAAGTTGCCTTGGCAATGGATTTCACATAAAGACTAGCAAGCACATGCTGCTCACTATTTCATCATAATCTGTGAGACAAGCAGCTCAGGCTCAGGTTAATAAATGCTTAAATGTCACACGCCTGTTGGGCTTTCAGTACAAAGGCCCAAAGCAGACACAAATTCAGAGCCAATCATATTATTTACATTTTTTTTTCTAAAGTCTGACCCTGTTTCTCGAGGCAGAGATCACCTGCCAGCTGTTCTCCCCTATCAGACAGTGTCAGGCATGAATTAAAAAAATCCTTTGTTTACAGTGAAGGCAATAGGAGCCTGTTGACACACCCTCCTCAGCTTCCTTGTCTCTCAGCACAATGGGTGGACGATAACGCCACACAAGAACCAATCAGTACACATTTGGCTCTTTCTCTGTTGAGCAATGATCAGGTGGGAGCCCACACACATCCCTTTAACAACACAAGCAGCCAGTAAAAACCAGCAGAAAAACACGCCAATAAAAGCAGTAAAAAGCCATTAAAATAAATGATTTAAAGCAGTTAAGTGACACACGGCCTCTAAAAAACAATAAAAAGGCGAACAGAGGAACCCCTTACCTTGGTGTAGGGTGAAGCTTTTGCTTATATGTCTATTCAGCACCAATCTTTATCCTTTCCTGACTCACACACAGTATCAACAAGCACTGCCGGGCTCACGCTCAGCATCCCCCTTTCACTCAAGGATGAATATTAGATGAGGGGGCTGGTCTACGCCCATCTATTCCCAGCACAATAGACACACGCGACCGGATTTTTATTCCTTACATGCACTGGCTCAGCACCAACTAATACAGATAAAAGAGCAGAGACAATTAAGATGTTGGCCTAATTAGTGTGATTTAATTCTATGAGTAATGCAAATGTAAAAGTAACATTTGGTTTTAAAAGTGCTCATCAATTAAAGGCAAAATGTTAAATGGTAAAATTATCCTGAAACACTGGAGTTTTATTTACAGGTCAACTACTATTGACCATAAGAAATCTATTAAACTCTGGGATGGGCAGGAAAATATTGGCAAAATCAACAACAACAAAAACACCTACAATTATAAATGAATTGTGTATATTTTAGAGCAGGGTTGCAACTAACAATTCATTTCATTAGAGATTATTCTCCTAAATCTTTTCTCAATTTATAAGTTTATCATTTGGTCTCTAAAATAATAAAGAAAATAGTGAAAGATGTGTTACAATGTTCCCCAAAACAAACTGAAATCTTTAAGTTGCTTGCGCGAGGGAGATACTATGGTAGCTGTGAAACGTGCAAAAAACGTAAATGGCCCTATCTAGAGCGAGCTTTTGGTTTGTCTGTTAAGGGCTACTGTAGAAACATGGCGGTTCAACACGGCAGCCACCTCAGAAAGCGACTCTAGTGGTCTTTAGATAAAAAGGCTCATTCTAAAAAGGTACCAAAAACAGTGATTCTTATTTTCAGGTGATTATACACTAATGAAACCGAACCTATGGATATTATATTCTATTTCTAAACAGATCCTCCAAAATGTTACACACTGGACCTTTAAAGAAAGCTTTTAGGAGATTCTAAAGACAAAAAAATACTTCATAATCAATATTGTTGCAGATTAATCTTGACTAATGGATTAATTGACTAATTATTTCAACTCTGTAAAGACGGTATTAGGGTTTTAGCAAACGTTTACAAACAAGAATAAGAAGGGAGGCACACAGGAAGACATTTTGAAAAAGGAAATTAGTAGTAAAGTGGCTACAATGACCAAGGTAGAGGTATTTGCTGTTTTTTTCCAGTTTGCCCACTAAAGCACTAAAAACAGAAATATTCATCACATAACTTTAAAGCTGAAAAAAACTAATTTAGGGCAACTAAATCAGATTATATATATGTGTCTGGTTTCACTGCACATCAATATTATTATACAAAAATGTCTACTTTCAGGTCAGATATAGTCCAGTATTTAGGTAAAAACACAGACCTCTTGATATCATCATGAAAAACAAAACTCCTTGTCAGCTGTGCTGTTATCTGAACACACACACAAACCTGGACTTGGGAGGCAACACTGGATAGGATCTCTAAATTTAACCAGTCAGCTCTTCGTGGTTTGTCATGTGGGTTTGAAACTGCTGAGGATTCAGTTCCCTTAACACATACCAGGGTCTGCTCCAGAAAACAAGTTCACTGAGTTGTCTGGTGGGGGGTGGGGGGTAACTTTGAAAGGTTATCCATAACTCAGTAAACCTTCAGCTTGGAACAAATCCCCCGGTCATAGCAGCTGCTGGAGGGAAGTTCTGACACACAGCCAACTAAGACACCGTTTCAACATAGTGGGGATACACAGACTGTGTGTTTCCTGCCTCAATCTACAACTTAAAACTACATTTCTAACAACAACTTGTGGCACAACAGCCGCTCTGACTGCGTGTCTCCAGGTTGTCAAAAAGTAAACATCTGGATGAGACACACACACACAGACAGACAGACAGACAGACAGACAGGCAGACATAACACGTGTGGCTGTAAAGTAAAAGGTATAATTGACTGTATTGGTCTCTGATAGGCGGTTTAAGACGAGGATGTTACAATCAGACCGTGTTTAGCTGTCACTAGGAAGCAAACAGCAAAAACACTCGCTAGCGAAACTCCCAACGGCTAACATGCTAACGTTAGCTAGCTCGGAGTGGCTACAGGTCCTTACTTCACTTTTATCTCTAAACCCCCCCCCAAAAAAAGTACAGTACACTATCTTAAATCATCTTACCTAAGCTGGGCTGCTCTGTGACCGTTTGTATTTTGTTTCCGGGCCGGAGAAAATAGCCAAAAATGCCACTTTTATTTACGTCATACTGTGGCTTCTGTATGTTTTTTACGTTAACCTGTTCCCTGGTTGCTGCTGCTGGCTCCTCCTCCTCCTCCTCCTCCTCCTCCTCCTCCTGCTACTATCTGTGGTTACAGCGCTGGAGCAGACGGGGTCAGGAACCCCCACCCCACCCGACCGTGATCAGATTTTGTCTAGTACAAGAGCCACCTGACAGGATTAATGTTTTGAGGAACAGTTTTTAATCGTTATTACTGATTGGATTTAACCACTATCCGGGTATTATCACCAGCATAAGAGGATAGTACATTCATTCAAACACTGCACTGAATTATAGGCTACTTTCTATACTGGACTTAAATTCATTTGACATCTATAGTTGGTATTTTTGCTTATTCCTATTTAAAAAATGAGAATATAAATTATTATTAATAGACCTTTTTCACAGCAGTCATTTTGACAAGAAATAGTAGGGTAAACACAGGTGTTGCCAGTATCAGCGCCTTACCAGTGAGCCAACATGCACAGTAGCAGCACCCTGACTTACTACCTTAATAGTATCATTAGAAAAAAAAAAAACTATTTACCCTAACATATGTCAAAACGGCTGCTTGTGAAAAGGTCTATTGTTTTCCATTACATGAGACATAATATAAAATAGTGTTATGTCGAAATCATTAACAGCAGCTAAATGATGCTTACACATTAATGCATCTGTGATAATAATATAAAACATAATAGACACTTAAGGAGTCATTTTCCTGTATGATCAATACTTTTGATACTTTTACTTAAAATTATTTAAAATGCAGAACTCTGACTAATAATAGAGTATTTTTATATGGTATTGCTACTTCCTACTAAAGGATCTGATCTTCCACCACTGATCTTTACACAGGTCTCTGCTCTATTTCCTGTTATGTTTATGTGTGCATTAAACAACAGAAGAAGAACCTAAGAGTTAGGGTTAATTTATGACAATATAAAGTGCTAACCAAGAGAGGGCATGTCCCAAAAAAGTTTCTGTGGGTGAGTCAGACAACTGCTTATACACATAAATGACACTTTAAATGTATATTGGACCCAGTAGTTTGAATTATGATTTGTTTAAACAACTGATTTGTGAATGTGTCTGACACTAAGTAAACTTCTTTGCTCTACAGTTGGTGGTGATATTGGAGCACACTAACTGCACTGGAATATTTCATAGTGGTTAAGAAGTGAAGGCACAGCAACATCCTATTGTAAAGTACTTGTGAAGTTCACAAAACAAACCTCTTCATGAGAACATTTTAACAACAAAAGCAGCTATTATGACTTGTGATAGCAGCAGAAAAGCCTCGGTGCTTCTGATAACTTTAACAATGACTCTGAAACTGAAGCAGCTGAAGGAATACAGCCATTATTAACTGTATCAGTTAAACCTGTGCACTTCAGCGCCATATGTAGAAAGCATTGCAGGAACTTCTTTCTTTTTCTTTAAAATCGATGTGATATTGTAACATTTCAGCCGGTTGCAGCAACACCAGCTTTGTAACTGACCTTTTTTCACAGTAGACATTTTGGCATGTCATTGCAGAAAAAGTAAAGGTGTAATAATTAACATTTAGGTGATGTATTTCAAGGGCTTTGGGTGCAGTGCATACAGGCCCACTGACAGCACTTGTGGAATTGAGCCAATGTTGTTTCATTCACGCTTTTCTTGCTAAGACAAGTCAAATTGTCTGGCGTGAAAAAGGACGTATTATCATGCACCACAGTAATGCAGGGATATTGTGTGATGTATGGATTTTCCCTTTGGTGCATCAGTATGCGTTGGATCAAAAGGTAACATTTTACTGCTAATATCAACTAAACTACAACTAAACTAAAAACAAAACAAGATGTATTTTTTCCAAACATCAGTTTTAGTGTTTAAAAATAATTTCTCTTTATTTTGCCACATAAATCAGAGTTTTAATGTACTGTTATACAAATCTTTCAATAAATTTCCTTCTGACACAAAAATAACCATTACGTTACACAGGCGCACGTACACACATACTACATGGACACATGCACGCGCACGCACGCAAAACACACACGCGCAGGCACGCATGCTCACATACACACAAAACAAAATCCGCCATTCTTGATTTGGCACTTTGGACATATGGAGCAGTTTGCATTGATCTGCTGGTTTGGGTGGCCATGCAGTGCAACAATCGCTATGTTTGTAGAATGACATCCCTTTCCCTTAAAGTGGGCCACACTCACCTACGCAGGGCCCAGGCTACAAATATAGTTCACATGAGACCACATCGACATGTACGGATCACATGAATACTTGTACGCACACACACACACACACACACACACACACACACACGCACACGCACACACAGTTATGGCAGGAATATGCAAATGTTAGAAAATCTTAAAAAGAAATAAAAGAGGTCCATACTTCACACCTCACCTCTGCTGCTTTGTTATTTTACATGACACAAATGCACCAAATCAACTCCAATTACTGACAATTTTTAGAGAGAAAAAAAATGCACAACTTCAAAGTGTTTATGATATTGTGGGCTTTGAATCCCCAGACTATTTCCTGCTCTAACAGATACGTAAAAATGTGTCTTCTGACTGTTAAAACAACAGTGAGGTGCCTTTTAAGTTTTCTCCACTGCAAGAAACGACAACATTTTCTTGACAAAATCCATAAAAATGTCTAAGGAAACAAACAAAATGAATCACATGGGTGGCTGTGTGAACTGCTGCGTGTTGTAAAGAGTAAACTGGATGATTTGAAAGGCTTAAGGTGAGCCATGGACCAAAACAACATGGGGAACCAGTGTCTCTTACACCCTACAGTAAATGCACCCTGAAACACCCCCTATTCTAACATAAGTGCACACAATATGAAATAAGACCATTTACCACAACAGCTGGTCTGTCTTTGAATTTTGTACAATGTTATGATGTCACATACATAAATAACTATCAGATTTCCTCACAGACAAATGCAAATTGCACACATAAAGAATTTGCAGCCTGAATGCAATACGTTTTTTTCCCCGCACTGTGCATCAAATTGGAAATGTTTCTTTTACATTCAATTGGCTTATAATAATTATGGCTATGAAACCTATATAAATTAAATACGTTTTCAGTGTTTTCTGTTACATTTGTAGCATTTAAGACAATTAATTAAAATGTACGAGTGTTCAATAGTGACGTTAACAATCCACTGTGTGTCCCCAATTATTCCATTTTATTTAGTTTTTAAATAGTTTTGGATACTTGTATTACAGAGGCAAGACATTTGAACACAGAGGAAACCTGAACGTGAAAAAAAAAAAAATCACACCCCTGAAACCCAAGTAAGAAATTTTTTTAAAAGAAATGTAAATCATGACAGGGTAAATAAACTCCCTTTGCAACACACATTTATCTGATGAGTCATGTTTGTCAAAAAAAGCAGCAGAAATGAAAAATATAAAAAGAAACAGAAATCCATTTAGTAACTCTTGAGTGCTTCTTTTAGACTTTCCACTGCTGGAGGCAGATGAGATCTGAATTCCTCTTTGGGACTCTCTATGACAGACAAAGTCAATTCATCGCAGAAAAATAAACCTTGACAATGGATTTCAAATAGTGTTGTCACAAACATCTAAATACAAAACACGTACAATGTGAAGTCTTCTCTCCAATAAAGATTTTAAAAAAAGACATAGAAATCAAACGATGTTTTGAGGATCCTAAGGCCTGTTTGAAATTGGCAGCTGATGATAAAGGTTATGTTTCTTTTACATGAACACATTTTTCCATTAGCCGCTCAACAGAGGCTTGTATCCAGACAATGACAAAAACCCTCCACATACTGCACTTCTATTCTGTTTCTATAACCTCACACTACAATGGTGAAACTGCATTTAGGTTCTTGCAGACTGCCATCCAACTGTTATTTCACCACACGAGTACATAGAGGGTTTAAGGCAGCTTGGAAGTCTTCATTTCCACTAATGTAATGTTAAGTAACCACTATCACTCATTAGTTTACATCCTGGTCTCTTTATCCATGTCAGAAGTGTGATTGCTGTCATCCTTGCTACTGGAAGTTTTGACAGAACATTGACTTGTGTTTCCTGTCTGTTAGGATGTTCAGAGTGTCCGGTATTTGGTTCTTTGTAAGGGTAAACAGACCCGCCACACTCCAGCTCTCTGTGGTTTCTAGTTCGTCTTAAATGTTTCTGATGCTGAAGGGACTGTGCGTTGTTGTCCTGGGCCTCATGTGGCTTTGTCTTTCTGGTTGCAGTTGTTGTCTGTGCTGTTGTGGTCTGTCTGGTTGTCCTGTAGGCTGTCCTGCTGCTCTTTGGTCTGCCGGCGTCTCGATTTGACAGGTAGGACGAGTACCACCAGGAGACAGAGGAGGTGTAAGCAGAAGTACCAGGACCTGCAGAGACATCACAAAGTGAGAATTAGCATCTCAACACAGTTTATTACAAGTAGCCATTGGAGAATAAAAGAAAGCCTAAAATTATAAGTCAATTTATTAGAGTGTTAGTGGAGCTAAAAAACAAGGGATGGCAATGTCGGTCAGCCAGTCTACTGCTTTAAAATATCTCAAGATATATTAAATATCATGGACATCTTGGATGAATTGCCAAGAAATACATTCATGGTCCCCAGAGGATGAATCCAAATGAATTTGGGGATCCCCTGACCTTTCCTCTTGCACTACCAAGAAGTTGAAATTTTTGGCTTTTAGTGAAATGTCTAAACAACTATATTACATTTGCAGCAAACATTCACGTTCCCCACATTATAAACTGTAATAACTTTTCATCGAGCACCAACATCAGGTTAAAAGTTTCATTTGTCCAATGCATACCGAATACTTAAACTAATGACATTCCCATCAGCCTCAGCTGTACTTAGTGTTGAGTGCTTATAAGCAAATGTTGCTAACACACTAAACCAAGATGGTTATCAAGGTTAACATTATACCTGCTTAACATCACTATGTAAGCGCGCTAATGTTAGCATTAGCCTGTGCTAGATACAACCTCACAGAGTGGTTGTAGACTCTTAGTCTTGTTACTTTAAATCGACCGCAAACAGATAATAGCTTTGAGAAAGGAAGGGCGACTGACAACCCCATAATATGCATCATAATAAGGGAGGAGGCTAATTGTGTGGCATATGCGAGAAGAAGGAATTTAACGTAACTAAATAAGGTTTAGTAAAATTTTAGAAAAGCGCTCTAGAAAACTCGCAAAAATGATCTAAAACAGGAAAGACCAACAACTTGTCAGACTATCCCGTTACACTCCTCCTTATGTGCTGCCTCCTTCTCCCCGACCCCTCCTGCTTTAATGAGTCAGTTTTCTATCGCCTGTTTGGCAGCCACGTGCTGATTTAATGGCAGTCCTCATCTGAATGACACTGACCATTGTTGGCCCTTTATTTCATGGCAGCGGCCGAGCAACGTTAGGGCCGCTCATTTTATTTCCTCCTCATCAATCCTCCCCATCTTTCGATCATTAAGCTGTCTCGTTAACTGTTACGGCCTGACAAGAGGGAACCAGGCTAATGAAAAAGTGTTAATTTCAACACCGTAGCCAGTAACTTCATTTACATGCTTAATATAACACTTTACACAACAGCAGGGAACAAAACTCACTCTACTGATTACTCAACAGAAAAGCAGAGGCCATAGTATTCTCTCTTGAACACTGATGTTTTGTTTCATGGACTCCAACAACGATCCCTTAAAGCAATATTGAATCAATATCAACACAATATTCAGCTGAACACACATACCTGTAGAATTTGAGTGAGGGTCCCACAGCAAGTAGGACAAATGGCGCCACTGTATAGCTAATGGCAATCTGAGTCCATGCCCACGTGATGACATCATAGATGCACTTGTACGAGTCAGAGACCAGGAAGTACGGTCTGATGTTGTGCCTTACCTGGAAGAGCAAGAAAAACATCCCGTGAGTTCTCAACATTATTTTCAAGTGAATGAACTGTAAACTTTAAATTGCATTCTACTCTTTCTGCTGTGAAGTAAACTAGACTTTAATTGAACCAACTGACCTAGCTTCTGAAATCTGCAGCAGGCATTACTGCCTACTTTTGTTTATCTGCTCATCCTTCTCTCTCCCTTCCCCTCTCTCCATCTGTTTCCATCTTTCCAACTCTTCAGAGAAATCTATCTCCGTACATGTCCGTGTGGCAGTGGCCAGTAGTTTTATGGTGTAACTGGGTCAGTGGTCTCCTTGTCCTCTTTTAGACAAAGAAGAACAAAGTCCCTGCAGGAACTCACCTGCACAACAAATTTACTGCACTGGCATTTCAGTTAATCAACCCTTTCCCAAGTAGATTATCCAGAATTAGAGTTAGCTTCTGCCTGTACTATCACTCCACTGTCTCTACATAAATATCCTCTAGGCTTCTTCTTTCACAAGACCAGAGTGAAAAGGTCTGGCTTGGCAAAGATTAGTGGTAATGGCCTTAAACATAAGACATAGGTGGTAAACTACTTTATCATTATCCCCTTACTCTACATAAAGGGATTTTGTTGCGTGTTTGTGGGTCTGCTAAGCAGCACTGGTAACTCTAAAGAGATCTTAGACTCCTGCAGAATGATGGAAAAACAAATAAATCTAATTTCTGGCAAAAAATCAATTATGGCTGTAGGATTCAGCCTCTAAATTATGATTCCCAGGCTGCAAGGGCATAATGTACCACTCAAGAATTATGACATATTGATCTATTAGGCTGAGTCTGGCTAGGAAATGCTTCAACAATAGGTTCTGAAAAGACAAAGTGTGTGTACTCACTGCACGTGCAGCCATGGTCATGGCAATGCCAGTGAGGAAGGTCAGGTAGTAGCCTGGGTACACCCCATGCCACATGGCTGACAGCAAGAAAGTGGCTGCAGTAGGGTTGATGGCACAGCGCTCATAGCACACCCTGGGGAGAATATTGACATAACAGCCAGTGTTAGGTCAGAACAATTAAAGTAGAAACAAATGAAAGGTTTCATTCCAAACGTCCAGACACTAAATGTTTGTTTTTGTAATATGAGTGTTTTTTTGTGTGTATTTTATCAGTCCTTATGTGGCATGTTTGCAATCCAACCATTCAAATTATGGTTTCAGTCAAATGTGATTCAAATCTAAATGCTAGACTTGAGATATGCAGATATGCAGATATGCAGATATGCATCATGCTTATCTTTCCACAACCCACTTCAGCCAGGGCTTGCTCACACGAACGTCACACAAATGTTTTTACCTTTTGAGCCAGAGGGCTGTCTGGATATTCCAGTTGTCTAGGAAACTCTTGAAACTGGTGGCAAACTGAAATAGGACCCAAAACAATATACATTTAGGTTTTGTCTGAAAGAGGCCTTTATCTAGATATAATAGGTCTCATAAAAAAAAAAAAAAAAAAAAAGATCCTAACCTCAATGTCCAGAATTCTGAGGTTTGATATCAGGTCCCACCGTGGGGAGCCATCTTTGTTGTAACCATTGAAGCCAAATCCGGCAGCGTTGTTGATAGCATCAGCTGCAGAGGAAAGGTACAAATGTGTCTGAGTACTACAACAGCAACAACAGTAAAGAACGACAGCCGCTCCCCATCCTTAGAATACATTAGTTTGTGAAGCAGTGACAGAAACAGATGGAGATACAGCATCACATGTATTTGTCATCGGTAAGAATGAAGAGCTGCAGTTTTCAATTGAGCACTAGATGGCACTGTTGCGCCAGGAAACGCTGTTAAATAAGAGGGCCTTTTTTTAGGCTGCATCTCAACATACTGTACAGACTACTTTAAAAATAACCAAAATCTCAGAAGCCAGAACAGCTCAGTGAGTTCAAACCACTCCAATGAGTCTTGCTGTAACTCCATATTCACTCACTTTGTTCTGAGAGTAAAGCAATTAAACTCTTCCGGGGGAAGTAGCAGAGTCTTCAGTCAAAGTTGATTATTGACAGGCGGTTTCTACGGCTTTTACGTTTATTTTTTTTAGTTGGTGTTTGTGTCGTTGCTTAATTTGTCTTTTTTGGGGTTTCTTTAGGAGTAAATGTGCAACATTAACGTGCAATTGAACATCCTCGTTAGTATGTTTATGTACAGTTGTTTTTAAGTGGTAAGTTGTTGTTTTCTTACTGTGAGTGTATGTTACTGTTCCGGGTCTAGCGGGGTCAGTGCCTAATGCTCTTATTCCTCTATGGCACATTATAAAAGGCAATTGTATTTCTCACTGTTTTAAGTGTTATATATTCCTGCACAGATCCCAATAAAAAAAAAAAAAAGGTTCATTATTGACAGACGAAAACAGACATCTTATACTGAGTTACGTGTAAATCACTGTCTGACCAACTCACCAAGCGTCCAGACGAAGTAGTACTTTGGCCTCAACGCCAGCATGGCCAGGTAAAGGTAGATGACTTGAAGGTAGAAGGGTGTGGAGCTGACAAAGTCATCGTCTATGGAGTGCTCCACCGGGAGCAGCTTGCACAGCGACAGATAGATGGCCAGTGAGATGGCACATGTGCACAGCTTGGAGATGACGTCATTCTGGGTTGGAGGAGAGATTAGAGCGTGGGATACAAAAGAAGCAACCCAAAACAAAAACAACAATAACCATAGTAGGAGGCATGATAGTTGTATTTCAAAAACTCTTGTTAAGTTGACTTGAGGTTAAGCCCTTGAGGGTTCTCTCGTGTTTTATATTTAGCGACGCCAGCTTTTACCTCTGTTCCAACCTCTTCACAGACAAAAACAAATTCTGGAGCGTAATTTAATTATTAATGTATTATGCATTAAGGAAACACAAATAACCTTGAGGCTTAGATATTTGCGTCATTAAATTCTCAATAATGTCTCATGTTGCTGTTTCTCTAAAAGGGAACCAAATGAATTATAACTAACCTGCACCCCTTTAAACAACTCTATTACTATTTAAAAAGAGGACTGCAGTTTAAAGTCCCATTTTGTTATATCTTAGCGACTCATTAAATTACTCTATTTGAGGGTTTAAAGAATTTCAGAATGTTTTTTTCCCCGCCGAAGCACAGAATGTAGGTCTATTTGAGTATTTGCACAAAAAATTGTGTTGTACCTTGGGTGAGGGTTCACTCTGCTTGTACTTCCCATTCTCCTTGCCGTTGGCGTTGGCGTTCTCCTGGTGGCGTGGCTGGTAGCCTGTGCCTTCGATGAATGCTATGTAGTTGTTGTAAGAGCACGTGGGGCCTGCGAGGATGCCCATGAAGTTACAGTTGTAGCTCAAGTACTCCAGCAAGCTGGGCATCCGCCTTAAAGGCCCCAGGGAAGAGACAAGAGCAGACATATTGTTTCATGCAGTGTGGTAACCCCAACATACACAGTAAAGGCTGTAAAAAAAAATGCTGCATTGTATCAAAATGTCCAGGAAAAACCTGAGTGCTTTAACTGGAGGTTTTATAGTTTCTTAATGTTCTTGCAGAATTAAATCTGCTGGGTGAAGTAGCAATCTAACAGCCTGAACCAGAGCTCTCGTTTTGACTGCTAATGCCTCACCTTCCCTGTAGCCATCTGAGAGTTAGCGGCTGACTCACAGTAGCCCAGCAAAGGTTTATGAAACAAAGGTTTGGTGCCTCATATTTGGGATTGTATAGGTACACTGGTCAGTCTCTGATCAGCCTCTGTTCTGTTTAGCTATGTTGTCGCATATTAACTCCTTAACTCATCCCCACCCAAACCCTGCTTTGTACATAGTTTCTGCACCATCTCTAATAGCACTGTAGCTGTCTGAGAAAGGAATCTGCATTTGTAATGCAGGATCGATGGAGGGTAGGGCATTCCTACAATACCGGTCACATGAGAGAAGTGAAAGTGGGGTTTCCTGGATACTGAGTGCCTAACAACTGCTTGACAACACCAGAGAGAGCCGGAAAGTGACTTTTTATGCAGAAAGCAATGAAGCCTTTATTAAAATAAAGAGAATAATTTCTTCCAAACTGAGTTCATTAACTCTGATTTAACACCACGTTAACTCTTTTAATCCAAACTGATTGAATGAGCCCATCATCTGAAGCAGTAAAAACATACCTGAGTCACATACCTGATAGCTAGGTATTTCTGACTGTGAGTCAGCTGCACATCTCGCTTGGTCAAACCTACAGACAGACACAAAGAGATCAAGTCAAAAAATACATTTAATTTATGTAAATGTCCAAAAAACCAACCATACCAGAGTCATACCTCTAAAAACTAATCATCTAACATGGGTTGTTCCAGTGTTCTGGTTGTACTTTTGCATTCTCCTTACTAATAAATCTTCTAATAAATTACGCCTTTGAGAGACATCCTCATAGCGGTTACTAAGGAGGATAGTCAAAAATTGCAAAAATAAACTCCTGCACACTGTCTAACTTGCAATATAACGTTTGTTTGCAAAGTTTTATAACCAGACCTTCATCTTTTTGCAACTTTTGATCTACTCATCCCACACCTACACACCTGTACACAAGTTGTGACAACTTGAATCTATCTATCTATCTATCTATCTATCTATCTATCTATCTATCTATCTATCTATCTATCTATCTATCTATCTATCTATCCATCTATCCATCCATCCATCCTCATGAAATAGGACTTTTTTGTCTGTTTTGTCTTTCTTTGGGCTATTTTTATCAGTCTGCTCTTTATTTACTTTGTTTATGAACACCTGCAGCATTGCAAACTCAGACTGAACACTCATGACCTGCTTTGACATCATGGGTTACATGTAAGGTTGAGTTTATGGCTCATTGTGCAACGCTTTATTTAGTTAAATTCTGCTGCTCCTCTGGCCACAATTAAACCTCTAATGACATTAACTGAATAAAAAGATGTGCTTTTACTTTACTAACTCTGTTTTCTTAAGAGCTGGAATATGATTTTGTGTGTGTGTGTGTGTGTGTGTGTGTGTGTGTGTGTGTGTGTGTGTGTGTGTGTGTGTGTGTGAGTGTGAGAGAGAGAGTATAAACAGCAGGCAGGTATCAGGGTGTGACAGTTCTCTGAGGATGGGGATTACAGTCTTAGTTTCTCATTAGACTCACAGTTGCGAGGAGAATCAGTGACCTGAGCAGAATTTGAAACACTACACTACTCTACACTGCATACACATGCATGCATGCACCCACCAACACACACACAACAATACATAAACTGCTATTAGACTGCTGATTGTGTTCAGTCTAGAATATCCTGAGGGGACTTAAGAATCCAAGTGGGAACTAAAAAAGCTGTGAGCGACTCATCACCCTCTCAATCTGTAAGCCACTCTGACACTTGATCACGCTGTATATTCTAACCTCGGTGTCAAGTCTCTATTTTTATTTATCGCTCATTAGCTCGTGGCAAACTCTTACTTCCTCATTGGCATGGTACAGTACTAATATGGCTAACTACATATACTGTACATTGGTTTTTGCTAATTGACGGTTAAATCATTAGCATCCACTGTTTAACAGCATTCAGCTCGTGTTCAAAGTCGCCCATTAAACTGCTCTACAGTGAGAGAAGGAGAGAGTGCATACTTGGTCATTGCCCCATTACATAACTGTGTTTATGCTCTCTTTCTGGTTCACTAGTCCATTGTCAGTACTGACTACTGGCTTGGAAACGTGGTCCTGTGATCTGTTTTTTTTTTTTTTTTTTTTTAAACTCCAAAGAGAATTGAACCATTTTCACTTCTGTCACGTCTGCCACATTTTCCACAGAGGATGCACACACGAACGCTGAAAACACATATGCCGTAGAGACATTTTCATGATCGCCTTACCATCGTGTATTTCAAACGCCAAGCTGGTAATCTTCTGTGTTATAACCATCATGGGCCTGATGAAGAGCATCAAACAAGAAAAAGGGAAAAGTTAATCTTTATTTTGAACGCTTATCGTTTAGTTTATCATGTTAAACTCCTAGCCCATGTCGTTGCATTTTACATGGGTAACTAATGGCCTATGGTGCCAGTTTATCTTGTAATAACAGTAACAGTGTCAGTGGCAGTAGTATCGTCACAATGGGAAGTTTCCTCCAGTATAATTGCAGAGCATTTTGAACTTCCTGTAAATATTCTTTCTATTCTTCTTCTGTATCCTTCTTCCTCTTGACTTCTCTATTAAAGAACATTGTAAAGTCTGCTCTCATGTGCTTTAGCCTGCATTTAGATATATACAATCTTTCTGCTGATGTTTGCATCAGCATGTTCCTGTCTAATTTTATACATAAAAAAACTGCTGGTGGCAGCATAAAGTTTAGCTTCAGAGTAAAAAAAACAAGCAACAGGCCAGAGATGTGGTCTGTTAGTAATAAAATTACTTCAAAGTATTGAAGGAAAATTATAGACTTTTTGGTCCTGTAGAGCAAAGCACATTTGGCTACAAGGCTCACATTGACGTTAATAAAAACGTGACTTTGACATTTTGAAATAAAACAGAGGGACAGCAATCGAGGTAGTGAAAAAAGTGAAATCTCTGCCCTTGCAGAGGCTGTATGGGTTTGCATTAGGTTGCTTAGCAACTAGCCACCCCCACCCTGCTGGGAGTGCAGGCTGTCTGCTTGAATTGTCAGACAGTCTGGAGGAGTGGGAACCAACCACAAGGAACTATAGTCGCTATTGACGTCCTCCTGCCGACACAGCAGTGTGACACGATCCTGCTTCTGTTTAGCTCAGACTGGTTGAGTCATATCCAATATTCCCTTGACTCTTTAATGCTAACTTCCCTTTTTAGTATCATTTGTGCTCCATTTAGCATTCAAAGGCCAGCGGAGGTCTTCAGTTTTAAACTGAGAACCACAAAGATTCTAAAGCGCTCTGTGGTCTTAATGTAGCTTACCCTGTGAAATCTGCAGAGTACATGCCGTAGTCAAACACGTAGACTCGTGTGATCTGACACAATATCAGATAGCCAAGCGTCACAATGAAGCAGTACCTGTGCAGAGAAAGGGAGAAAAAGAGTAATGAGAGAAATACATTTAAAAAAAGAAGTGAAAATGCATAAATGCTACAGATACACATATGTTCTAACACTTTGAATAGCAAGAATTTAATCCACGCAGTGATCATGACATCTTATTCACTTTAAAACCACAAGAGTTCTGAGGCGAAAAACTTTCCTCCCTTTGTTCTCATATCTGTGGTTGAACAAGAACTTTCTGTACTGGAATACAGTATAAAAGACAGTGGCCTCAGTAACAGGGCAGAGCTATGGAATGGGGGGGGGGTCGAAAATTGGACAAAAGGGCAGAGGAGGCTCTAATAATGTGTTACCGTAGACCAAAGACAGAGCAGAACTAAAGCCTGTTGCACAAAAGCTGTTGCAGAGTTAGCCCAAGTCAAAGCTAGCTGGCTAGCATTCCTCTGCTGCCAACAATAAGAGAATTGTGCTGCTCCGAGAAGGAGGACAACACACCAGCTAGAGCGAGGCTGCATTGCTGATGAGACACAACAGGACCTCTTGATTCTGAGACCGTACTGTATCTGCAGTCCAAGGCACCATCTGATCTCTACTGCCAAGCATTTAAATTGAAATAAAAGAACCCACTCAACAATGCTGCAATATGAAATATTTTCAAGCCGTTTAATAATCTTTTTCTAAAAACTCAGACGAATACTACACACTGTTATTAATAACAAAACCTTGAGAGAAGGCACTGAAGATAATTATAATACAATTCTGTTATGTGCTCTGAAAGTCCTGTTTGTATCCAACCCACACTTGGCATGTTTTTCAGTGTACACAATATTTTTAAGAATTTTGGGAGACTACATGGCTCTTTACAAACGCCTACATATTCCCAAACCTCATCTAAATGTGCTGCATGGATACATTCAGTAATAGTAGTTAAAAATGTGTGTTTTGTGGTGAGTAATTTATTTTTGGAACAAAGCTGGGTTTGCAGAGCTTTCTTCTTTTATTTTAAGATTATTTCTGGTATTTTGCCTTTATTTGGCAGAGAGAGAAAGAGAGACAGGAAATGTTAGAGAGAGAGAGAGGAGGGGTCAGGAATCAGACAGAAACTAAGCCTATTAACTTAGACAAATATGAGCCTGGAGCTATTGATTTTTTTATTTAAAAAGGGAATTACATTGACAGAAGAACGTAGCTTTACAGTTACAGTCGCTAAGAATAGAGTTTTACCTTGAAGCAAGCGATAATATCCTGTTGTGTCCTGCAGACTACTCCAGCAACATAAGGTCAACAGCGTTCCCAACATTATTGTTAAAAACTATTACTTGCATTAAAATCAACAGAAATGACACACTTGGCAGATATTTCACCAGCTTTAGCACAAAGAATAAATATGCTTAATACTAGGCTACATGATATCAAATATAATTTTAGTAATGCAAGAAAGCTTAACGTTTTTTTCTGTTGACTCTGCTAACATTTGCAGTCCTTAGCAACAACCCTATTTCACAAAGATCAGCTTTCTGTACTGGCAGCACACAGCTGCAGTTAGCAGTGAGGATATGAGCTATATGTGCTGCAGCAGCTATATTTGCAGTGGGCCCACCAGGGATCCTGTCTTTATCCTCCTATGATTTGTGTTTGTGTAATTCACAGCTCGGAGGGCGGTGTTTCATTTCCACTCAAGGCATCGGACTGGAGCCTGGGACTAAAGTAGGCTGGCCTCCCACTGTGGGACAGCGGTAGACGGGTCGACGTGTAGACAAGGAGCCACACAGGAGCCGCAGGTATGGATACTCACAGTACGTGGAGCCATGAAAATGAAAAACAGGCTATAAATAAATGTCTGAACACTCAGAGACCTCTCTCGAAGGTTGTGTACATATCGTAAATGCCTGGGAGGCACACTTCATGCTTACACAGATCCAGAGGAAATTTCCATCTGTTCAGCATGCAACTGTGAGGCGGTAATTTGCACACTTATCACCGGCAGGTTCACAGTCATGCTTTCACACCAAAACTAATATGAATTCCAATTAAACTGTATGTTTATGTTACAGATAACAGAATGCAATCCCTCCGTTTCACCCTTAATTCAGGCCCTCCTGTGGATAAGTTGTAACTGGAGCTTGGGATGTCTACAGGGCTGACATACTGTGCAAATAGAAGTCAAAACTTGTTTGAGAGCCAGTCAGTCGACTCACACTGCTTCAGGAAATAAACAGACATATGTAGACGCTACAGCACAATTTGCTTTAACTGTGGTTCCCAAACTGTGGAGGAGCCCGCACAAGAGTTAACAAGATACATCTAGGAATGGGACTTGGTTCCAGTTGAGAACCAGTTCCAAATTTCCTGGATCCTTCGGCATCGTATGCCTCTGAGCTTATCAATTCCTTTTATCAGTGCTGACATGTTTATCTGACAGTAGCGCATTGAAAAACAATGTTAAACTCATTGCATATACGCTGCTGGAACCTTGTAACCTGAAAAGGAGTCATGGCGGAGAGGAAGAAACCCTTGGCTTCATTTCACACCAACAATGTGAACATCTTTCTATGCAACGTGGGCTTAAATTACAGGGAACGCCATGTATTTAACACCCTACGCAGGAGTGCAACCACTTCCCAACCAAGCAGCACGTCCATTACCAAGGGAAAATATCCTATGATATAAGACACTTAGCAGAGTTTTTCTTTGACAAAGAAAACCTAAATGGAAATGGTCGCTGTATAAATGTTAGAGATGGATTTCACCGGCTGCAGTTGAGGCCGACTTTTTTTCCACGCAGAAAACTGATCAAGAATCAGTAAGGGAAGCGGACGGATAAGCAGAATCGACAATGGAACTGGTATTAATTCCCATCCCTAGTCTCAACATCCCCTCTCCCTGTCCCTACATGCCAAAACTTGCCTGAGAGCCAGTCAGTTGACCGACACTGTAATAAACAGACGTATGAAGGCACTGCAGCACCATTTGAGTTCCTACGATACATATGAGAGGTCGCAAGATGATTAACAGGATAGGAAAGAATTTCTGCTACACATAATTGTGTTTGTGTTTACTTTCCTGCAGTTTCTGCTTCATTTCTTGTGTCTGTGTGGTGATGGGGCTGCTTCATTTCAATGGTCACAAGCCAAAAAGTTTGAAAACGTAAATAATAAAAAATAATACATCGCCATGCTGCATCACTTGAAAAGATTATATTTCCATCAAGCTTGATAGCATGCCATGTCTGATTTCTTCAACAGTCTTGGGTTATTACAGTTTTGTTATGGTTCTTCTATAGCACCGGTATCAATTAGAGAGGGCACTCGCATTACAGTCAAAGCCTTCTCCATTGGTCACACCGTATCTGACGATTTCACAGTCTCCTGTCTCTCCTTGCCGTCAACCAGCAGGCACCGCTGTGTCGCTTAGATAAGTAGGTCTAAGCGTCTCGAACATTCCCTGTCTGCTCACCACATCCAACATGTGACCTGTCAAAAAGAGTGGGGGAGCGGCAGAGGGGAACTGTGAGAGATCCAGAGCTGCACAACAGTGAATAGTATGAAATATGATGCCTCACCACAACACAAAGTCCTCAGTGTAGAGTCACACTAAGCCAAGGTTTACCAGAAAAAAAAACATTTTAGCAACTCTATAAAGCTGTCACACTGCACTGTTTCCCCCAAGGGCCGAGCATTTGAGTGGCAGAACAACAAATAGAGAACACAAGGCCTGCCACAGTGCACTGGTCTTGGGAGTGGCGTACTGCTCAGGGTGTGTTCCCAAAGTTTGTCCAAGCCTAACTGTTCTCATTATACAAGATCTCTAGTCAGCAGTATTATCATTATCAAGGGTAGGTGTCATGCACTTGATACAGCAGTATGTAAACATATGATAGTGACTTTATACAAAGTAGGGGACTATATGCACATGCATATACATATATACATATTTGAAAGCAATGCAACCGACTCAAACTTAGTTCAAAGACCACATGAACATTCGGAGGACTTGTACACTTAACTGCCAAAAGCACTGAGCCCCCAGTTAAAACTCAACCTGTTGCTGCAATAGTGATTCATTTGTTATGCAAAAACCCAAGGCAGTGGGTTCAACACCCTCTGCAAACATGAGCATGTCAGTGCGTCCTGCCTCTGTGGGTCTCCTCCTCTCTGCCCCGGAGCTGCACCTTCATCGAAGGCCGGGGGCGGGGGCTTATCTCTGAATGAGATGGAGGGTGTGTTGGTTTGGCTTGGGCACAGCCACAGTTTTCAGTTTCATAAGCAGACGCCGCTTTTCTACCCACTCACACAAGGGACAGGACACCAGGCTAAAAGCACTCTAATGCTCTTTATAGGAGGTTAAACTTCCAGGAATAATGTGATATGACTTGAGGTAAAACATTGCTAGTCGTGGAAATGACATATTCTAGTCTGGATAAACATGTCTTGTGTTTGAGGTTACGGTCATTCTGATAATCTGTCACTGGGTTTTGGGTCCTGCCTCTCTGAGGGCAGTCGTGATTGTGATGATTTGATAACATCTATTTAAAGTGCTCTTCCCGGGGGGGGGGGGATGATCGACTGCCTACACCTGCACTCATAACCTTGAATTGTGGTAAAAAAATAACATCAAAGACAGTGTGAGTGTGTGTGTGTGTGTGTGTGTGTGTGTGTGTGTGTGTGTGTGTGTGCGTGCGTGTGTGTGCGTGTGTGCGTGCGTGTGTGCGTGTGTGCGTGCATGTGTCCGTGTGTGCGTGCGTGTGTCCGTGTGTGCGTGCGTGTGTCTTGCTGAGCCATGGTCACAGATGGAAGCCCGGGGGAAGAATCATCGTCATCGTGATCCAGGGTCAAAAGCACAGACAAACGAATGAAGACGCAAATAGGAGAATGATCATTATCAAACATTATCTGCAATCAAATTTGTTTTCTTGGTTTACTTGCCATTTCAGGTTTATTCATATGGGGAATGACAAGGCAATTTCACAATTATGTGTGTTTCTGACACTTCCAGGAACCGTGATGCCAAATGATTTCAGTGGAAACCTTATACGCTTTTATAATCCAATTCTGCATTTCAATTGTGCTCCAATTGCACTCACTTGTGCATGTGCTCCAGGCCGGCGAAGATCATCACACTGTAGGACAAACCGCTCTGCACCAGGAAATGGAGGGAGTACCTGTGGAGAGACAGACACCATGAATGATACAGTTATTAATCTCATATTCAACTTTTAACATTCCCTTGTCATAGTTTCTTGGTTTGTTATTTGCCGGAAAACAACCGTCTTTCTAACACGCACACATACACAGACACGCCTCTTCCTTGTACTAAACTAAATTAGACTTTATTTGCTCTCGGCATAACCATCCACATCCTGCTTTGTCATCCCATACACTCATTAGGAAGAGGAAATAACAGCATTACGAAACCACAGTTACACCATCAGCCATGTGAAGCTTGACCTTTGTAACCAGTAATGTGTCATCTCCAGTCACAGTACAGAATAGTGACAATCACCATCACACAGTGTTCTTCACTGATTCACATGCCTTCCAGCTGCAAGATTCCTTATACAGCACCATTACAGTGTGTGCCTTGATCAAACTCTAACTTACCCACCTCTCTCCCTTTCCGTGTAGCACACATACATGAACAAAACACACAGTTCAACAGCCGCAGCAGCTACCAGATGGGTGTTTGAAGGGCACAGTGTGTGATTCTACCGACGTCAAGCCCTCCAGGAGAGGAGAGATGCCACAATGTGTTAGTAGTGAGTCAACAAAAGAGGGCAAGGACACCAGGGGTTGGCGGGGGGAACAAGGGGACACACGCTGGGTGAATTAAGTGAACAACCCAGCAAATAAAAGGGTTAAGAATGCGGCAATATCTGACGAAGGAAGAGGAAAAAGATAAAAATAATACAAAAAGACATTGTTTCAACTGTTCAGCAATCTCCAATTGTTTTCTCCAGTGACATTCAGAAACAAGCTTGTGCGTCTGACAGAGAGGGAATACAACCTAAAATAAACCGACACTCTGCAGCATCTGCGAGGCAGATCCTCTAGGGCCGCAGCCAGGTGCCCTCTAAGACAGAACAGTGTGTATGTGGGCAATGGAAGTGAAAATGTGTGAATAGAAGTGTGCAAACGCAAAGTGTGTGCACAGATGCATTGATGCATTGCACGTAAGCGTGTGTCTGGCTCTAAGTTACTGTGACTTACTCTGCTTGAGAGGTTTAGCAAATAATTACACCCATCTTTTTGAATCCCTAATATCAACCTGTGCACCTATGTATGTGTCAGCAGAATATGTCCCAAACTTGGTTCGGCTATTGGGTAAAAACAATGTCACCATGGGCAAACAGCCAATTAGATTGTGAGTTTTTTGTCTTGGAACAGTATAAAATGTGTGAAATGTACTTTCTTATTCTTCGAGACATTTTGTTCAACTCCGGACGGTGTATCAGGTCTGTTTGCATAATATATACTAAGAACACTTTTATTCCTGTAATTAGTGTAAAACAATAAATACTTAGCTTGGAGCACTGTGCCAAGTGCAATAAATACAATATACTAGCTTTGTAAAATGTATCTGTTTATAGATATTTAAAGGGGCTTATGCTCTATTAATTACTGTAGCAAATAAAACTCTTTGGCAGGCTTTCACAGACGTAAACGTAATTTATTGATAGTTTGGCACATTTTGGACAAAGAGGCTGTCATGTCTTGGTCAAGTGAACAGGACGATCCATCATTAAGTGTGAACTGTGTGAATAATAATGTTTTTTTTGTTACATACAGAATACTATGTCCCTTTTCTTCCTGACATTACACTATATATTGTTTTGTTGCCCAGTAAAGAGGCGCCTAATCACAGCTCATTGACAATAGTAGTCATTATACTTACATGGTCTAATACTATTCTATGTTTCACTTCCATATTTTTTCATACACATAATTTTGTTCAATTACAACTTTTTAATGTGAATTTATTTTGAACAATAACAGATTTGCATACTTTTGTGTGTCATTGTCATGCCATGCTTTAACTAGAAAGTATTCTTGTTTCTGATTCAGGAATGAATTATACAACATCAGCTCTCCCAGCCACAACAAATAACCTGACCCGACCGCAGCTCAGTGTCAGTTGCATCGTGTACAAGAGCAATCTATTGGCAAGGTGATCAAATTAAACCCTATCACCTATAACCTGATGACCAGGTAATGTTTCACCTGGTTAGCATTACCCCCACTATCTGGATGTGTGGCTAATCTTCCCTAGGTTTGTTCTCCAACACACACACACACAGACACAGACACAGACACAGACACACACACACAGACACACAGACACAGACACACAGACACAGACACACAGACACAGACACAGACACACACACACACACACACACACACACACACACACACACACACACACACACACGCAGTACTTTGAGAGGCACTCTGCCAGAGGTACAGTGGGTTGTCTATTACAGGGCAATAGCTTTCTAATTGGATATCAGTTACTACCCGATCGACCCATTTGCTTTGGCAAGGATGAGGAGAATGAGGATGGGTTGAGGGAGAGTGAGGAGGGGAAGGGCCGTGAGGGGAGGCGGCAGAAGTGAGAGGAGAGAAGGATGATGCCGGCAGACAAGTAGCAAACAAGGAAAAGGGTGTTGGATGATGACTGGAGAACAAAACCGAATAAGAAACAGCAAACTCAATGGAGTAGCTAATGAGACAATGAAAGACAAACCCATTACTCAAAACAACTATCACCAATGATACAACCATTAACTAGCAGTGAAATAGCTCATTTAATTGCGGTACTTCATGGGAAAATCTACCTTGACGCTGTAACAATCAGTAAGCCATTTCAGACTGTGTAAGTGACTACTAATTAATTAATAAATAATAAATAATGAGCACTGAAATTTTATGTCAACTATTAAGCAGTAAATTTAATTCACAATAATTCTAATGCAACACTTAGCCACTTTGTTAGTTCATAATTAGGATGCAAGAATGCAATATGTATTGGTTTTTCATTTGACAAAATGTTTGCCGCCTTATCGTTTACACTTTCTGCTCAGGTAACACAGTGTGCTATCTGTCCAAATCCAATCACTCACCAGTTGTTGGCCCTTACACTTAAAGCAGAGCTCAAAGACCCAGCAGGTTAGCATGTTGCTAATGCTAGCAAGCCAGCAAAACATCCGGTCTGGGGTTCCCTAAACATTAACCCAGTCCGGAAGACCAAATTAGGTGCAAATATAGCATGCACTTTCACTTACTATTCAGTCTCTTTGGATTCAGTCTTTCTTTGTATGCTTATACATTTATGCAGTGCAGACACAAAACCTGTGGAGGTGTGAAGCTCTGTTTTGTTCAAACAGAGAGTGTTTTCACTCCCAAATGGTACATCTACATGTAGAAAAGACAGCTGAAATTAGGCTGCAATTAAACATAGTTCTCATGATCAATTCATCTGTTCATTCTGATTAATGAATAAACACTTTTGTCTTTTAAAAAAAAACAAAAAAAAAACTGTAAAAAAATACCCAATCTGATTTGCCAGAGCCCCAGGCAATGTATTGAAGTTTACTATCACAGTTACAAACAGCTTCAAATTGTCACATTTGAGAAAGTGGAACCAGCCACATTTTGGCATCATTACTTAATAAGCCATTTTAAAGATGAATCAATTATCAAAATAGCTTCTAATTAACTTTCTCTGAATTGATTAACCGACTAATCATTTCAGCTCTGGCTGAAAGGCTCAGGTACTCTGGGGTTTATGGAGAAGCATTCTGGGAAATGTAGGAAATTACTAACTGAAGCAGAAATGGATGCTTCATTACACTGTATTATGTAACATTTCCTTTCATTACATAATATTTCATATGCCAATACAATAGCAATGTATTTACAATAGCACGAAATTGGGACACGGTCACAGTCCGCAGGAAAGCGATCTCACAAACATAATATTGTAGGAAGGAAGGAAGGAAGGAAGGAAGGAAGGAAGGAGCAGAGTATAAAATGACAGTGATGACAAGAAAAGAGCTGCGAGATAAACAGAGCAGTGACTCACCAGCCAAAGCAGAAGAGAGCCAAGTAGAAGCCCAGCAGAGTGGCCACCACATGTCTGATGAAAGGACTGGTCTTACTGGGGTGGAGGTAGAGCCGAAACCACACAGCCATCAGCAGAGCGAAAAGCTGACCTGCCACAAAGTTAACCTGAACAGAGGGACACACAAAAACAATGTTACAGATTTATGAAACCAGGCTGAATCCAAAACGACTGATGGCTGGAGCTGGGCCTTCGCCAACTTCTGGGATTAGAGTGATATTAATGCAGATAAACAAATAGTGAGAAATAATGAGAGAGAGAGGGAGCCACAAAGTTGACCTTTATAAATATTAGCACAACACCAACTGTGAACACACAACAAGGTAAATCCCAGACGTCAGCAACACAAAAGTAGCATAAAACATCTTTATGGCTAAATGTTTCCTTAAGGAGTCCCCCAAGGTATGAATATAATATATCACTGAGAATTACATTGCTAATTAAAATAGTAGTGTTACTCTCAACCATAACCATTCAACCATAAGGGAAAGTAAAGCTTGTAGCATCCAGAGGGTTACAGGCTCCAACTGTACATCAGTGCAGGGTTAACTACATAGTAGGTAGTTCATTGTTAGCTACTGGCAAACAAGCTAGGGCTGGGCAATCAATCAAGTTTTATTTCCAATGGTTCAAGCTTAATAAAGGCATGAAGTCATGTCAAATAAAAGTGATCTCAATATTGTACAATATAATCGCGATTTTTTTTATTGCCATAATCGAGCAGCCCTAGCTAAAAGGTGCAACAACACAGGTGTGGTTCGACTGCATTCTCTCTCCCAGTAAACAATAAGACAATTGATGAACCTTGTCTAAGAATGGTGCAGGTGTTGTCAACAATCAGTATTGGTGCTGATCAACGCATTTTTAACTGATCGGTATTGGCTATACTGAATTTTAATCGACCCAATTCGATCTTTTGTTTTACGTCAGCTGTCACACAGCTGTTTTTACTCGCAAAGCTTTCATGTGCAGCTATCGTCAACTGTTTGCTGTTTGCCTCTCCACTCTGAGCTGTGTCAACGTGAGAGCTGCGGGCGAGGC